CTCCGAAATCACCCGGAACACTTTCGGTGTCCGAATATAGTCATCCAATATATAAATGTTTATGTTTTGACCATTTCGAGACTCCTTGTCATGTCCGTGATCATATCCGGGATTCCGAACTACCTTGGGTACATCAAAACACATAAACTCATAATATCAATCTTCGCCGAACATTAAGCGTGCGGACCCTACGGGTTCGAGAACTATATAGACATGACCGAGACACATCTCCGGTCAATAACCAATAGCGGAACCTGGATGTTCACATTGGCTCCCACATATTCTACAAAGATCTTTATCGGTCAAACCGCATAACAACATACGTTGTTCCCTTTGTCATCGGTATGTTACTTGCCCAAGATTTAATCGTTGGTATCTCAATACCTAGTTCAATCTCGTTACCAGCAAGTCTCTTTACTCATTCCGTAATGCATCATCCCATAACTAACTCATTAGTCACATTGCTTGCCAGGCTTATAGTGATGTGCATTACCGAGAGGGCCTAGAGATACCTCTCTGATACTCGGAGTGACAAATCCTAATCTTGATCTATGCCAACTCAACAAACACCATCAGAGACACCTGTAGAGCATCTTTATAGTCACCCAGTTACGTTGTGACGTTTGATAGCACACTAAGTGTTCCTCCGGTATTCGGGAGTTGCATGATCTCATAGTCATAGGAACACGTATAAGTTATGGAGAAACCAATAGCAATAAACTAAACGATCATCGTGCTAAGCTAACGGATGGGTCAAGTCAATCACATCATTCTCTAATGATGTGGTCCTGTTTATCAAATGACAACTCTTTGTCCATGGCTAGGAAACTTAACCATCTTTGATCAACGAGCTAGTCAAGTAGAAGCATACTAGTGACACTCTGTTTGTCTATGTATTCACACATGTACTAAGTTTCCGGTTAATACAATTCTAGCATGAATAATAAACATTTATCATGATATAAGGAAATATAAATAACAACTTTATTATTGGCTCTAGGGCGTATTTCCTTTAGAAGAAAGCAATAGCAATAAAACTGAACGATCAACATGCTAAGCTAACGGATGGGTCTTGTCCATCACATCATTCTCCTAACGATGTGATCCCGTTCATCAAATGACAACACATATCTATGGTTAGGAAACTTAACCATCTTTGATTAACGAGCTAGTCTAGTAGAGGGTTACTAGGGACACGGTGTTTTGTCTATGTATCCTCACATGTATCAAGTTTCCGGTTAATACAATTCTAGCATGAATAATACACATTTATCGTGATATAAGGAAATATAAGTAACAACTTTATTAATGCCTCTAGGGCATATTTCCTTCAGTAGTGGTGGGCTCCGATGACGGGGTGTGGAACGGATGGCTCCGACAGTGGGATGCACAACATTGTGCTCCAGCGACCCTCTCTGATTTTATAGCAACGCGGGTTGGCATGGGAGCCATCTCTTCTCTGCCATGGGAGCTGGACAAACGAGAGAGACGTGGGGAAAGAAAAGAAGATGATGAGTGGGCAAGACAGCTTCGGCAAGAGATAAGACAAAAGTGGAGAGACGGTGGGTGGGCCCAACAGGGGATACATGTCAAGCGGGAGAGACGGTTTATAGGAGAGAGAAATCATTCGACTGGTTCAGGAGTTTTTCTAAAAAAAATACAGGCCACCCGTAAATGTATTTTGCGGGACGCGGAATTACAGATCCGCTGGAGATGCTTGATGCACGGAAGGAGGTGATCCTAATATAATAGGGACGATCGGAGGGAGGGGCGTTCCGAATTGGATTTCGCGAACCAGGAGGGCCGTTTTGGCTCTTGGGTGCATATGCTCCCTAATGAGCAGTAAATTCAAAATAAATAGTAAATTCAATTTAAAAATTATAATTTTTTCGTAGATGTTCTTGTTAGTGTAACAAGTGTGCTTGTCAAATTTCATGCGAAACGAGATGACTGTGCTTCCTCGGTGAAAAAACAAAAATATGTGTAATATTTTGAGGTAACATTTGTAGTTCGACTTGTTTTTTTTCACAGATAAAAAACTTGAGCTTTTCTTCTAAAAAATTGCAGGTAGTGTTTTGGTGTGACAATGATCATATCTTTTTTTTATCATTTTTTGAACATTTAAGAAAAACATTTTTAATGGGCAGAGCATATGCTCTCAAGAGCCAAATTGGATTTCGCGAATCAACCTGTGATTAGGTTAGATGGTTACAGGGACAGTAGTATCCCAACCCATCAGTGTTCAAATCATGATGCTCGCATTATTCCTGGATTTATCTCAGGATTTTCGGTAACTTCGTAAATCTCAAGATGGTATGCCGGCTCAGTCTCTTAAAAATGTTTATAGGATAGAGTGTGAGTGTGTGCGTTCATAAAGTGAGTGTATGTGCGTATGTATGAGCACTTGCATTGTTAAAAAGAAGAGGCTGAATTGGATTTCCGAGCCGTCGGATGGATCCGTTGATTTCCAACGGTGGAGTGGTTGCTGCACGGAGATTTCTATCGGAAACGGGAGAGGTTTGGTGTGGTCCTACGTACCTGTTAGTGGGAGCGTCGATACCTGACTGTATGGTCCTAGCTGTCAGCGGGCCTAGTGTTTATTCCGCCTCCTCCCCGTGATTGCGGTGAAGCCTAGGGGCCAAAGCGTGAAGAGGGCAGGAGGAGTAGTAGGTAGCCAACCGCACCAGGGATCGCCGGCGGAGATGGCGCAGAGGGAGAAATCGTCCGTCGCGGTCGCCTCCCTGTCGTCCTCGGCGCCAACCGCCGTGCCCTCGGGCGAGCGGTGGGGCGCCGCGATCGGCAACCTGGGAGAGCTGGGCGCCAACGTCGAGTCGCTGCAGAAGCTGCTCGCCCGGAAGGCCGTCTTCGTCGACGACGACGTCTTCTCCAAGGCCTCCCTCGCCTCCGAACAGGCCCGCTCCATCAAGGTACCTACCCATGCTTCCGATCCCCAAACCGTTCCTTTCACTTGGGCCTGTAGATAGATGCCTCCCCCTAATCGGCGTGAGCTTAATCAGTAAGCAGACGACGCAGAATCCCTGTTCATATCAAGATGCATCTTAGATGACAGAGGTTCAGTTCAATCTAGTCTATTTGGCTTTGCCTTGGGTTTTGATAGAGCTAGGCAGGATGGATGGTGCCAGCTCCAGTCAAATGTACTTGATTTGATTAATTGTATTTATGTGATGGTCCTGACAACGATTTCTGAAACTGAATGCATAAAGCCATGCACCACCTTATCAAATACATGACTCAAATTTATCATTCGTTTTAGTTTTTTACAGGCATGTGATGAATTTCATACTATTCTCGGTTATTTTCCCCTCATATCTGAACTACTAAGGACATGTTTGGTTTGTGATAGACTTTGCCCTAACTGAGTTTCCTAAAGTGCGGCTTTATTCTGGCCAACAAGCCAACAACAGAAGGCTCCGTGTTTGACAAATAACATGTGGCTACACATGTAATGATAAATGGGTGTCAAGAGTAAGTGTATGTCAAATACTTAAGCTCGGTTGCACCAACCTGTACTCATGAATTTATAGTCATCAAACAGGTTCAGCACACAGATGCCTATTTTTATATCTGGATTTTCTACATGATTGCATATTAAGTTTGCAGATTAATGGCTAGCAAATTATTTCTTTTGTAGTGTATTTCTAGCGACATTAGTATCCTTATAAGCTAAAATTTGGATTTAAGCAACATGATACCTTTTAGTCTTGTGCAAGAGCAGTGAATGTTTTTTTCCCCTGCACAATTAATAGCTATGAATGTAGTTTGGCACTTTATTGGCTCGAATATATGTTGGCATCTAGTTAACCGTTGTTCTACAGTTTGTTGTTTGGTATGTTTTCCTATTGATTGGTATTTCTCTTCTGTGTATTAGATTCTTGACCAGAGGGTGCAGTCTCTGGAACGTGAACTGGACGCTGCCATTTCTGCAGCTGCTCGAGCCCGTACAGAAAAACGCCAGGCTGAAGCTGCTCAACGAGCTGCAGAGCTGCATGCACAGGAAGTCACGAAGGAGCTGGAGAACACCGCAAGTATGTGTACCATCTTGCTGGTGCACCAGCATTTGACTCACCGAGGTTAGTCTGGAGCTTCATAGCTCATTTATGTTTTTCATCTTGCAGGAGTTTTCCAGCTGCACATGGAAGAGCTGCGGGCAAAACAAGAGGAGATCGCCAAGAGAGATAGTGATATCAAGGTGTTGGAAGCAATAATACGAACCCTGAGTAGCAAAGATGATGGCGGATCCAGCGAGTAATAACCATACATTGGGAGCATTTGGGCATTCTCATTGATGCTTTCATGTTCAAGCATCCCGACACATATTTATCGACTCCATGTAAGCACTTCAATACTCAGATGATTGTATATTGTTTTCACAAGATCGAACACTCAGATAGTCACTTGCAATGGTATGCTGTCATCCTGTTACTTTTACATGTTGATAATTGGCCATGAATATCAAGCAGAAACCGTTGGCACTAATCTGACTGTTGAGTAGAAGTATCCAAATTGGACAATTTATAGATATCGCCTGTCCCGGGAGTATGATTCCTAGGTATTCGACGACAAATTCATGATGGGTATATATTTCTTTATTATTTACTCCATCCGTTCACTACAATAAGATGTTTTGGATATTTCAATATGGACTGCATATGATTGGAATGAGTGAACTAAAGTGCATCTATATACACCCAATTTGGAAAAAAGTTGGAACATCTTATAATAGTGAACGGAGAGAGTGACAGTTTAACACAATGCCCTAATATAGCAGCGGTTTTACTTAATTCCCAAGCATATTGTGGAACGTTTTACCCTCTTGTCAATCAGCCAAGCCAAGTATTATCTGGAAGGGCTCGTAGACATATGCACACACGCACACACACACGCACACACACACACGCACACACACACACACGCCCGCACACGCACACGCACACGCAAGGTTAACTCGCTCCTTAGTGAATCTTCTTCTTCTGCATGCGAGACATGGTTGCTACTTCAAGTGGATGTGCTATGCGTTCTTAGGTACCAAGGAGGTGGCCATGGAGAAGCTAGAAGCAAGGGACAAGCCCTCACAGAAATGGAGCAAGGAGTGCAACAAGTGGAGCCGCCGCAAAGCAACAGTGTCCGAACACCCGATCAAGGCATGGATATCCGGTGCCAGCAAACAAAGAACATTCGGAAGAAACAGGCGCCCGGTGACTCCCATCGAACGACCAGACATTCGACGCATCCCTAGAAATCCGGCTAGGAGGGTCTAGAAGTTATGCCAATTTTTGTCAGACGTCTGGCCAAGCCCCGAACGTCTGGCGCCTAATGTCGGGCCAGACATCCGGCATGTCCAGGGACATCTGGCACCCATGCGCGCATATGCGGGCCAAAGGCACATGTACCCCTCTCTCTCCCTTATTTCGTCCAACACTATGAAGAGACTACCCCCTCTTCCTCTTAGGGTTAGCAAAGTATATGATTAGATGTTGAGAGAGCTTTGCTCATCTATTAGTTCTCTTGGATATCAAGACCTCCTAGGAGAAGATCCCTAAATGGATACCAAGGCCTCGTCTCCTAGGGATTGGAGAAGACTTATCTCTCAAGGCCTCAATTCCTCTGGGGATGGGAAGAATTACCTCTTGCTATTACCATTGGTTGACTTTGGATCCATAAACTTGTATGAGATTTGTGGATTTAGTGGATGTGTGAGTAATTCTTGTCTTTGAGTATTCTTCCTCTTGTGTTGTTCTTGATTCTATCCTTCTCCCACCTCTTAGTGTGATAAGATCTCGAATTTAGGGTTCCGCCCTAGCTACATCATCTTGGATCAGAGAAGGTTGATTCACATCTTGGAATCTCATCTCCTCATTTGCTAACCTATTCTTATTGCGTTTTGTCCTAATTCAGAAATCCCTACCAAAAAATAGCCGCACCAACTTTTTTTTGCAATTTGTTGAGTTTTGTGAGATTTTGTCGATTTGGATCCATGAACTTGTTGTTTGCCATGCGGATCTAGACCCTCCCCACCACCCCACCTTTTCCCACGAAATCCACCCCCATCCCACCCCAAAACTTTTCTCCCCACACTCAAACTCCTAAGATTTTGATCTATCACGGAGTATAGCCGCTAGACATTTGGCCAATGCCCGGACAACGAGTCCCAGCCAGACATCCATCGAATCGCCAAACATCCAGACCGACACATACAAAACCCCCAAGTTCTCCTGAAATTTCCCAAAATGTTGCCATTTCCCACCTCCTCCACTACAAGAAATCTCGTCCCGAGATTTAGGAGTGGTTATAAGGGGAAGGGATCTAGTTACGAAATTCTAATGATTCTTCTCGGTCATAGTTGCTCTTCTAGAAGAGGTTGATCCATTACATTGATGTATTCAGTCCTCTGCTTCGGGTCATCATGATGAATTCATCATCCTTTCTTCGGAAATTTCATTGTACTTACGACTCACAACGTTGACTATCTGGCAGATAACTCAGGGAATGTGGTAGAAAGCAACTCTCGAATAGATACTTAAGAAAATATCAAGAGTAAAGTAAGAAGGTACCATGAGAAGTTTCCAATGGGCAAGCAATCGTTCGATGGCCTAATCAGAAGGTGAAAGGGGTTCAGAGCAAGAAGAATAAGTATTGCGTCTAATACTAGAATAGATCATCCCTAGGAAGGTGACCCGTGAATTACATACGGAGTCAAATCCGAGGAATAACTTTGGGAACAGGGGTGTACCGGAGAGTCAGGTTTCGATCCTGTGGAACTGTGGGTTATGGGCCCACCATGTGGGTTTAAAGTGGAAAGAGTGATGATATCTTGCACGGTTATGATAGCAAGGCATGTCAGAGGATAACCTGTCAGTTATATCGGTAACAACGTCGGTACCAAGGTCGAGGGACGAAGAGAACCATTTTTCGGCTCGTTAAACAAGGCGGGCCAATAGGCAAAGTTCTCGTCCATCGGTGGCTACCGGAATGTCATCAACAATAGTAACAGGGTCTCACTGACTAAGTTGTAGGACGAGGTGTTTACATAAGCAAGAGAATATTACTTCTTAGATCATATAGACCACAAAAAGAAGGTTAAACAAGACAATGAAATGGAAAATGTGATTATCATTTTAAACAGAACAATGGAAAGGAAAATGTGTTTAAACACATATATCAGGAGAGAAATTTCAGGATATAATGTAGAAAACTCTTTGGGTAGGGGAGAGAAATTTCATGATATTACCCATACATCGGTGTTTGGATAATTGAGCAGGAAACATTTAGCATTGGGCTTCAAATGTTCTTGTTGAAAATCGGAGTACCATAGACATGCTTCGAGATAGCATTGACATGGTCATCAGGTGAAGATCAGACTTCGGAAACACAAATTCATCGGTAACAACTTATAGGATAAGTCTTACCATTTCCTCATGGAAGAATGGATAACCTTGCCGAAAAGGAATCTATAACAATAGAGCCTCCAGCCAGGTGTGCTAGGATGACATCACCTTATCGGGCCATACAACGACCAATGTTATAACTCTTGGAAATATGTCCGAGCCATCATATCTGACCGAGATTCAGATCTGATTGGTGTGAGGATACCTCAAACTCATGATGCTCGAGGAGAAAAGGTGTGACACAAATTGACGAGATGACGTCGAAGATTCTCGAGAAATGAACTATGGAAGCGAGTTCCGAAACAAGAGTTCATCATTAAATCAAGAAGAGGATGAGGAGGTAGCTGATGGACTCGGCGTTAATTCAACGAGGTAGCCAAAAAGATGGATCTCCACAATTATGTGGATAAGGAGATAACATTTGTCAGATCAAATGATATAAGAAGTATGCTCAAGGAAAACATACACAATTAAACATTGGTTGAGAGGTGCGCCCGAAATATGGGTTGGGTTGTACGAGCAATGTCAGAATGTTGATTCAGTAATCAATAGTCTAAGAATGAACGGCCGACCATTAACTTCAAAGCAATAGGGTTGCTAGAAGTGCAGAATCCAAACAGCGCTGTTCACTTGTTGGTACCCCGGTTGGAATCAACACGAGGACCAAGAAAGAATGGTGATGGTGAGAAGTATCACTATACCAAGAATTCTTAAGATGTGGTGAAATTCCCACGACATTCTTGACATAAAAGGTGGTAATACTCCAAGGTAAAGAGGAACAAATGCTGGATAGCAAGGATCTCAAGGTATAACACAAAACACGAACAAGTTTGTGTTGAACGGAAGGCAATAAAGTGGTCGATGATAACACAAATCATCGAGGGCAAGGATGGTATTTCTCATTATGAATTTGATTGATATCCTGGAAAAGCTCAAAATGTTGGTGATGATCATGACACATTTGTCGAGAGATTTCATGAAGATGTAATCTATCGGCGATGACATCAAGTCAAAGGAATTATGAAGCAAAATGTTATTGGAACCATGGGTACGACACAAACTCGAAATCAAGCTTGTTGTTCAAGGTGAAATGATATGACGAGGAAAATCGACGTAAGCTTAGCTCATCGTCGAAAATTGTGCTCCGGGAAGAAAGGTCCAGGTAGCACAGTTAAAATTTACCATGATAATGATATGGCCAATCAGACTAGGAGTGACATGATGGAGTATTAAACTTCTCAACAACAAAGTACTGAGAGTACTGAATCTCAGTATTGATTCGATTCACAAATAGGTGTTCTCGGTTGACGACAACCCAAAACCCGTGGAGTGACTATGATGGGAAAAGGTACTGCTTCATCAGAATTTCATAAGATGAAGTGCAATGGGTGGATATCCTCGAGATACCAGGGGGTAATACTCGAAGGTAGAACAAAATAGAGGTTGGGAAGGTGTACTGATCTGCACCAAGTTCTTTAACTTGCCCGAGAAATAGAATCAAAGGAGAACAATCATGGTCGGAACCACGGTTGCTAAGCATCAATTCACAGATACCAGACGATATTTATTAAGGAAATATTTATTATTACAAGAAGTTTCCATGATAGGATCTACATCATGTCCATGGGCATGAAAACAAAGTTCAAGGCCGACTCCCACTTCTTCAATGCATAACCCTTCATTCACTTCCCATCTTCGGAGAATTTATAGAGTTGAAATTTTTTCCGACAAAACACCAATAGATATAACCCGCATAAACTACGGGTTCACACAAACTAAAGAAGGCATAGGTTCAACCCATAAGGGCATCTTAGGAACATATACCACGAACTTCAGGAGTAACTAGCAGAAGCTCAAAAGCTGAGCATGGTTGACACAACTAAAGGATACCATTTACCAAAGGCATTATGTTTCAGGAAAAGAACTCACGAGAATTTTGGATGTGAAGGACACTGTCGGATAATAACCCGCAATGGTTCTGGCGGTCCACAACATGGTTGATGTGAGTATCGGTACTCATTCAGAGGAAGAAGGAGTGTAAAGGCATCGGATTATAGAAAGTACTGACTAATTCCAAGCTCAAATGCAAAGGAAATATGATTTCCAAATCAAAGGATCAGAAGCAAACACTCTGATCAAGGATGGATAAATTCAATAGACCTAAGGGTACAATTGACAGAAAATAGATTGGTCGAGAACAAGCTCAAGTTTAAAATGAAGTCTGAGCCGGAAGGATAATTAAAAAGGATCAACTGACGATTGCGTGCATTCGCACTCATGTTGAATCAATAGGATCAAAATGACGGTGTCTAAGGATACTAACGAATATTGCTAGACATATGGAAAGCATCCATAATGCAAGCAGACAAGTATTGCAGAGCAATAAGCTACTGAGGAATTTTGAAGGATCGAATAGTATTTCGAAGACAATTGTGAAACACATGAACAACTGGGGATGAGCGGATACTTGATAAGGGCGATAAATTATCCGTAGGGTTATTCAGGTGGCAAGGAACTGCAAGGCAGAAGGCACAAAAAATTTCTCGGAACAATAGAGGGGATTTCAGGGTATCTTGTTATAACAAGATCAACTGGGAATAAAAGAACGGTAAGTGTATGTATTTATCCATAGGGATATTTCAGTGGTAGGGAATTGCAAAAGCAACAGGCTCAAAGTCTCGAGAGAACATCGGAGAGTATCTTTGAAATCCTTCGGTGGACCAAGTAATCATCTGGAGTAAGGGGCTCTCCAGGTAGAAGTAGTTACGAGAACCTAGAGTCGGCGTTAGTAAAATCATTTAACCCGAATAGAGAAGAGATTAGAGTCCTAGAGTATAGGTCAAGGAATAAAATATGCTAATTCCACCCAATGG